AATTGAGGTGTCCCTTACATTTTTTGTTACAAAACATGCATACAAAAGAACATATATATGTGCAAATAGAGTTTAAGGAATAATAAAATGAACACTAGTATACCCACCACGTTTGATGTTATTAGATGTTTTAGTTTTTGCCAATCTAGTGAGTGTGAAATGGTGTCACATTGGAACAAAATTTGCAATTCTCTAAGTCTTAATAAGGTTGAGCGTCTTTTCATATGTTAATTAACCATTTGTGATTGCCTTTTGAAATGCTTATTTATTTTATTGCTTTTGCCCATTTTTCTGCTGCCCTGTTTGTCTTGTCTGAATAATGTAGACACTAATCCTTTGTTATATGTGTTACAAATGTCTTCTTCTCTCAGTTCACAGTTTGATTTTTCACTCTATTTATGAAGTCCTTTGATGTTCAGAGTTGCTAATTTTAATATATAGCCAACTTATCAATCTCTTTTTTTTTTATGATTTACTTTTTTTTTATGATTTACAGTCTAATTTTCTAGGCCTTGATTTCTTTCTGTGTACTTGTTTAAGACTTTGGCTTCTGAATCTGTACATGGTTATCTTTCATCAATTCTGGAAAATACTGTTAACTGTTCAAATATTGCTTCTCCTTTATTATCTCTGTTCTCCCCTGAAATTTTGATTAGACATGCATTGTACTTCTCTACTTTAACTTCCTTGTCTCTTAATTCTTTCATATTTTTTTATCTCTTTGTCTCTCTATGCTCCATTCTGTGTAATTTCTTGAGGCTTGTCTTCACCTCCATGTATATTATTGTTTAACCCATTTATTCAGTTTCTATTTTAATTTTTTATTTCTGGATGTTCTCTTTTTGTTTTCAAATCAGCATACCTATTTCTGATAGTTTCTTGTTACTGATAATATATTTCAGACACTCTTACTTCTTTAAACACTTTATATCTATTTGTATTTGCTATCTGATAATTCCTATAGCTTCTGTATTTATGGGTCTGATTCTGTTGTTCAGCAGAACACTGCTCCTGGTAACTTCTTTCCTTGTAGATGTGCATTAGGCATGTTAAACCAGTGCCCTTCAAACTGGGGGGTACAAATAATTCTAAAGGAGTCAGTTTTCCAATTCTTAATTTCATGTTTTACTTCCTAAAATTGATCTTTGTGACAAAATTCTTGTGATCAAGGTAGCAAAGTAATGTAGTATGCTGCTAATTTTTTCTCACATGCTGTTCACTATTGCCCTTCCCCTACTTTAATGAAGAAAGGCATACTCTCACATATCTTGAGTGTTTTTTATGGTGTATTTCTTTGAAGGAAAAGGTGAAAATTCTTCCTAGGTGTCCAGAAGAAAGAATTTAAATTACTGTTGTTACTGAAGCCTCCATTACTTAAGGGATTAGGTACAGCTTCCTGTCTTTCCATATCTTATGTGGAAGAAAATCCATCAGAGCAAAAGATAAGCCTTTATTTGAAAATGCTGGGCATGAAGGTTTCCAAAAAAGGATTCTAATTTGGGCAAAAAGGGTGGAACTTTGTATAAGGGGGATGCAGGGAGTCACCTAGAGTTTGTCTCTTCCGGAGCAGTTGGTCAAGATTGGATCTCAGAAGAGGGAGGAACTGTTCTAGGGTATTAGCAGCCATTGTTTGATCATTTTGGATTTTATCAAGGAGGTGAGGAGTAACAATTTGAGGCCAAGGTCATGTGCAAGAGGGTGTGAGGAGGGTTAGCTAGACATGGAAGGGCTACAATGGAAAATACTCTTTCCAGGTCTCTATATCTGTTAAAGGTAATGTCTCGTGTTAAAAACTGTCTTGTATTACAGTGTTCTGAATTCCCAAAATGATAAAAATTTTCATTAGATGACCTTACCTCTTCATTCTCTGTTCATTATTAAAGAATATCATTCCTGGGTTAAATACAAAAGAGGAATTAACTAAAGGTGGCAGTCCCTTATTCCATCCAAACAAGGAGCTCCTGTAAACCTCTGCAGTTTATTGCTGTTTTAGAATTAGCATTCAGAAGTGAGATGGGGACATGGGTTGACTTTCACATTGGAAAATTAAGTCATATTTTTCAGAAAAAGTCAATCTCCTTTGGCTGATTGGTTTGGAGTTAACAACTGACTTTGCCATTTATCCAGTATGGTAGACATTCTCCTTAAACTAAATCAGCTAAAATCTTCAGCTTTGTGGTTTTTTGTTTTGTTTTTTTCAGAAGTACATTTAAAATGGGTAATAAGATAAAATTATTTTTCAGTTTTCTCTTCTGTGTCCTACCG